ATTTAGCTTTGTTTCTAGCCTTTTGTCTATATCTTCTTGATCATGAAGTGTAGCCGAGGTGTTCTGAGCCACATTGTTGACAAACTTTGCATTCTGGAGGCTCTGGGTCAATGGAAGAGAAGCAGTTACAGCAGCTGAGATGACAGTAACGAGGGTAAGACCAGAAGAACTAATAAGCCCACAGCGCGCTGTTCCTGGGAGAGCTGACTGTGCAGTTCCTGCAATGCCTGGAGGCGTGCATCATGGTACCATTTCCCTGTTATGTGGGTATGAAGCATAATAAAGGAAGGCTGCTTTGAAATTACTATATCTCCATTCAGGTGATGCCTGGAAACACAGCTGGTAAGGTTACAGTGATGGCATTGGACAGCATAATGGGTGTCCAATCTGGTGATGTTCACCTTTCCAGTCACCAATACATATGGAGGCTGGACACAGGCTTGTAAGCCACAGCAAGGGCTTGATGAACACATTCCTTTGATATCAGCAAAGAAAGAGCCAGTGAATTAAGAAAGTCAAGGGCAGCGGCTAAACTCTACAGACCTTTCTGTAAACCTCCTGTTTCCGTGGTCACGGCGTTACCCACAAACCCTCCTGGTGACATAGGCTCTTGAAGGGGACGTTTAGCATCAAGCCCGTGAGACCAATCCAATACATACAAGTCAGAGCCAGAAATAGTATGTCTCACTGGTACAGGGTTGGCGCAATCTTGCTGTTGAGGAAATGCTCCCAGCTCAGTAGTGGTGCTATTAGGCCAGGAGGGGAGCAGGCGATGCCGATCACACAGCCATCGGGTGGCCTTAGGGAACCCCAGTTTAGTAACTGTCTGAATATATTTTCCCATATCCCAGGGGCCTGTGACATTACCAACGTCTGCACCTCCATTGCACATCTTATTTTCTTGGCCAAGCTGCAAACATCCTAAAGTCCCCCTTTTAGGTAAACAAATAGGGAGCTCCCCACTGAAGCCATTATAAGTATAATCACCTTGGGAAGAAGGAATTATGTGCTTCTGGGAGCTGCCCCCGACCAGGTTGGCATTGTTAGTAAACACTGGCACTGATTCTCCGGTCCAGGTGGCTGGACTGACCACAGAGCCCAGAGGATGTGGACTGTCAGGCCTGGGAGGGACCGTCCTGGCACCATTCCTTAGAGAGAAAATTGAGAAGGGCCGGGCCCGCGAGGCTCAGGGGTTGAGCATCGACCTATGAACCAGGAGTCACGGTTTCATCCGGGTCAGGGCACAGGCCCAGGCTGTGGGCTCAGTCCCAGTGTGGGGCGTCAGGAGTCAGCTGATCATCAGGGATGTTCTCTCATCAGTGATGTTTCTCTCTCTCTCCCCGTCCCTTCCTCTATGAAATCAATTAAAATAGCCTATTTAATAAAGAGGTAATATGCAAATTGATCCTCACGCACTCGCATCACAAAATGTCCACCCCCACATTGTCACTAGATGGCCGGCTGAAGAGGGCAGTTGGGTGTGATCAGGCTGGCAGGGGAGCAGTTAGGTGTCAATCAGGCTGGCAGACAGAATGGTTAGGAGCCTGCAGTCCTGGATTGTGAGAGGGATGTCTGACTGCTGGTTTAGGCCCGATTCCACCAGGATTGGGCCTAAACCGACAGTCGGACATCCCCTGAGGGGTCCCAGATTGGAGAGTGTGCAGGCTGGGCTTATGGACACCCCCCACCAGTGCATGAATTTTGTGCACCGGGCCTCTAGCATTAAATAAATTTTTAAAAAACAGTGAGAAACACTCAGAGGGGCAAACACCCAGGCAGGCTCAGAGGTGGCGGCCTTTAGCTGCATCCCTCTGCTGAAAGGTGGCGGGTGCTGACTGGCAGGTTCTCCCAGCTGCACGGGCTGGTGTAGAGGCTGCTGCTGGAGGCCAGGCAGTGAGAGTAGGTGCAGGAGCAGGCGGCTGGCCGTGCAGGGAGACCCCGTCTTTTGGAGAGATAACCCGCCTCCTGCAGGAGCCTGTGGCCCCTGGTTGGCTCATTCCAGGAGCACCCACATGTGGGCATGGGGCTCAGCGGGGAGGGGTGGCCCTCATTGGAGGCAGGTGCTGTGGTTTCCACCTCAAAGGTGAGGACCATGAGTGAGCCTGGGAGAGGGAAGGCAACTGCCCATCTGGGCTGCAGGACAGGACCTTCAGGTGTGGGTGTGGGTGTGGCCGGGAGCCTGGGGCCTGTGCGCACTCCCCGGGGCTGGTGAGTGCTCCCCCAGGCGTATCCTGGGACCCAGGCAGAGGCGCTGAACTCGGGGCTGCTCTCAGGCCCTGGGCCTCCGCTCCCCACATTCACGTCCCCAACAATTGTCAGCAAGAGCTCACCTGCACCTGCAGCTGCCCACGCGGGCGGGCCTTCAGGAGACACGAGCTGAGACGGTGCCCGGCCTTGCTTCGCTCCCATCCTGGGAGAGAGGACATGTTGCCCAGCCCAGTCCCTGCTGTCAAGGGGCTTAAGTCCAGGAGCCAGGGATGGGGTGAGCGGGGTCCCCTCCGCCGGGCTGGGCCATGGCTGCCGTGCGATTCAGCCTCCAGAGGCAGAGCAACCCGGTGTGAGAGGCGACACCCACTCCTCTCCGTCCTGGTCCGGCTTCCTGGCAGGGACAGACGGGCATCGGGCAGGTTGGGAGGGTCTCCCTCTGGGGCGTGTGTGGGGACGAGCGTGTGTGGCCATGCGAGGACCTCGCTGCCCTTGGGGACTTTCTCAGACTCGTTTTCAAACGAGGAACCACTGGCCTGAGAGGCCGCGGCGGCGGCTGGGACGAGGTGGAGACTCCGCGTGGGAGACACACAGACCAAGAAGCCCTTTAGCGTCTGTGTGTCTAATCCATCAGTCTGACATCCCCTGATGCTACGGAACAAGTTACCCTGTAGGTGTGCGTGGCCCCGAGAGCTTGTCATTCTAGAAAGTTCCCGGGTGTCTCACTCGACTGGGAACAGGCAGGCCTGTGGCCAGGCCATGCTGGGGGCTGCCTCCTGCCTCCTGGCTGCCACGCGGCTCCAGACAGGCCCCCCCTCCCTGGCCTCCCGGGGCCGGATCCCACCGTAAACACGCTCCCTCCGGAGACCCGGGAGCTCTTCACAGGGCAGAGCTTCAGATCTGAGAGGCGCGGGTGGTGTTTTCCCTTTTCCCAGCGACGCGCTGGTGGAAGCCAACTCACCAGCTCGCTTTAGACTGGGATTCCGCACAGACAGAGGAGCGCGAGGGGAAGAGGGCGCCAAGGCCCCGCTGGGGGGGGAGGCGGTGTGCGGGGCAGACTCAACTCTTCCTTCACCGCCCGAGGAGGAGAGAAGCCGGAGTCAGGAAATGGGGGCTGACAGGAGAGCACGTCCCATCCAGGGACACGCAGGAGGGAAGTCGGGCACAGAAAGTACCCAGGATGCACGGAGCGACCCTGGGAAGCGCCCTCGCCGGGTCTCAGCTGATGTCCGGATGCTCAGCAACTCGCTTTCCCGCCTGGTCCCTGGGGTCACAGGGCTGAGGGTCAGGGCCGCCCCAGGGAAGTGGGAGGAAGGGCGGGAGTCTCCTGACCACTGTTCCCAGGGCACTGGGTTGGCGGAATGCCGCTGACCCTCAGGGTAGGTGCCTTCAGCAGCCCGAGGAGGTGGTGGCCTGGAGCCCCTGCTGGGCAGGCCGGGGGGCGGGATACCCCCACATAGGACTCTGCAGGCTCTGACCTGTGAAGGCACAGTTTCAATCTGTGAACCTGTGATCGTTCGCTCTGTTCTTATGTCCTGGCTCCGAGACGCTCACCTGGTGTCACCTCAGGTGTCATTTGTTCCGTTTATTACAGCCTTAACGTCAAAGGGCCCCTGACCCTTCCCTGCGCTTTCAGGTCTGACCTGTGACCCTGACTCTGACCGGTGACCTGACTCTAACCACTGAGAAACAGGGGTCAGGACCAGCTTGTCATTCTAGAAAGTTCCCGGGTGTCCCGCTCGACTGGGAACAGGCAGGCCGGTGGCTGGGCCAGCGCTGGGGCTGCCTCCTGCCTCCTGGTTGCCAATCGGCTCCAGACAGGCCCCCCCTCCCTGGCCTCCCGGGGCCGGATCCCACCGTAAACACGCTCCCTCCGGAGACCCGGGAGCTCTTCACAGGGCAGAGCTTCAGATCTGAGAGGCGCGGGTGGTGTTTTCCCTTTTCCCAGCGACGCGCTG